TGATGGTCATAACTTAAAAAGACAAAAGAGACTTTTAAGTCTTTCAAAAGTCATTGTCTTTATAGCTACTAACAGAAAAAGCTGATGTGAGAACATTTACAGTAAGCAACATCCATCTTGCTCATTTCTACTCCTCTGAGACTTTAATTCTGTAGACAAGACAGCCACCTTCTTTTCCAAATTAGCCACCCTGTCCTTAATTTCCTTTTCCATTCTCTTTCTCTGAGCCTCCTGGTACATCTCATTAGTGAAGTGCTGTCCTCCATTCTTCTGCACCACAGTCTCTATCTTCTCCAGCAGCTCTGTGACCTGAGTACTTTCTCCTCTCTCCACATTGTTGAAGATCTGATAAATTCCCGCACAGCTGTTCACAAGTTGCTTTAAGTCCCAGCTCTGATTTAAAATCATTTTGTGGTCCGTTCCCCAAGAATCTCCGTGGGTAAGCAGGACTACAGCACGCTGCAAAATTCTCGCCCTGAATTTCTAATTAATGGGTAAATGGTATTATTTAAACCCCTGGGAGAATGAATTACAAGTAGGAAGACATGAGGACCAGGGGCAGATGCAGAGAGACACTCTTCAAACAGCTCGCAGTACAATGAAAGATCAGCCCGGTGTGAGATTCCCTTGGTGTCAATCACAGTTATGGTTTTATCTCTGACCATTCCATCCTCCCTCTTGCAGTTTATAGTATTATTGGGGAAGTTCTTTGCAAATGCTTCTCTGCCCAGGATGGTGTTTCCTGATGCACTTTTTCCGGCTCCAGCAGAGCCCAGAAGCACAATCCTCAAATCTGAAAGAACAGAGTAAAAGTTCTGGATTAACCTTCATACGATAAAATGATCGTTTGATTTAATGAGGAAACAAGTTATACAACACCAACTGGCCCTAAATGAAAAAAACTGCTGCATTACTCAATCAGTTAACCAAATCTAATTAATAATTGGGATCAACTAAACAAGACACACCCAGCTTGGTTACTGTGAGCTCTGTTGAATCTAAACATCACTTAAATACAACTTTTCCAGCAATGTGAAGTCGGCCAAAAGGTTTCAGTAAAAAGTACATGATGCTGCAAAAAAAACAAAACTGCAGAACAGATGAAAAAATGAAGTTATTGACGTACATCAGTGGAATGGGTTACACCTCTTTTTTCTAAGGCTCTGGAACTGCAGCAAACCACAGTGAGAGCCATAATATCCAAATGAAGAACAGTGGTGGATCTTCTCAGAAGTGGCTGGTCAACCAAAATTCCCACAAAAGCACCCTGATGACTCAGCAAAGCCACAAAAAAAACTAATCAAATTTCTAAGGCTACGTTCACATGACCAATCTGAAGTGGCATAAATCCATTTTTTGTGGTACAGATCTGATTTCTTCTGTATGAACTGTATGAACATGCAAATCTGTTCTTTTAAAATCAGATCTGAGCCAATTTGCCTATGTTAACATTAAAAGCCTAATTTTTCATTTCTAATTTTTTGCTTAGATCTGATCTTTCTACCTTGCTGGTTCACATTTGTGTCGGTAAGGTTCTGTTCACATTACAACCCTGAAGTGGCACAAATCTACAGAGCCCTGCTAGTGACTTCCCACATAAATAAAAATTACGTATGGCCATGCCGTACTAACGTGTGGGAATGAGATCCTAATGCGTGGCCATGAATTCGTAAGACATGGGAATGAGATAATTAAGTCGTGGCCATGACTTAGTAAGGTGTGGGAATAGGATAATTAAGTCATGCCCACTTAGTTATCTCATTTTCACGCCTTACTAAGTTGTGCCACGCATTAGGATCTCCTTCCCACGCCTTGCTAAGTCGTGGCCACAACTTACTTATTTATTTCCCAAGCCTTACTAAGTTGTGGCCATGCATTATTTTTATTCGTACGGGATGTCACCAGCAGGGTTCCATACAAATCCACTTTTTGGCCACAGGTCTGATGTTTTCATGTGTTTTCTTCACTGCACCTGTGTCATCATTAAGTGTAAATGAAGCAGCAGTTAATGACACAATAAAGGCTTGTTCTACTGGTTAGTTAGTTTGTTGTGTATGTATAATATATAAACACACCTGGATCAGGTAACGTTCCTCCCACTGCTCCTTTCTCTTCACATTTCTTCTGACTCTCTTCCTGACTCTTGAGATCTTCTTGTATGGATTTGGCTTCCATGTATGTCTTTCTCTCCTGTAAACGCTCAACTGATCCCTGCTGCACTTTTCTGGCCGCCTCTATCTCTTGTTGTTTTTCCTCTTCATCATCTTCAGTCCTTGTTATTTCAGCCAGTGATATCATATCCATATTCTTTCCCCTCCTTATGTTTTCTAGTTTGATTTCTTTGCTTGGACCTCCATCATCCCCCATGCTATTTGTTAATACTGATTCTGTGTGGAGTTTGTCTTCTGTACTTTGTGTAAGTTCTTCTCTATCTGGTGTCCTCTCATCCTCTGCTCTCTCTATTTTTTCCTCCACTCTTCCTTCCATCTCGTGTATCTCTTCCTGCCTCTTCCTTTCCTTTGCCTTTGTTTTCTCTTCCTCTTGTGCCTGTTCTTGTAAGAGTCTCTTTCTCTGGACTGCCTTGTACATGTCATGAGTGTAACACTGACCCCTCTTCTGTTGGACCATGGCCTCGATCGTCTCCAGGAGCTTTGCGATCTGAGCAGGATTGACCTCTCTCTTACTGTTCATCACATAATAACCAGCTCCACAGTTAGTAATCAATTCAAGCATCTTAGCATCCAGGGAAAATTTCATCCACTGTCGGTTTATCATTTCTTCTCTCCCAGTGAAGAGCACCATGGTGAACTTCAGAGCTTCTTCTCCAAAGTTCTCCTGAATCCACTTCACAATGTTTCTCTCATCTTCTGTGAATCTCCTCACTCTGACCACCAGCAGGAACACATGAGGACCAGGAGAAGACAGTGAGATACACCTCTCTATTTCAGTCTTCAGCTGGTCTGTACTGAGAGTTGTGGTGTTGATTGCTGGAGTATCGATGACTGAGATGTTTCTGTTCTCCACTCTTCCTCTCTGTATCTCACACTCTGTAGTTTCAGTCTCTCTGAAAGCTTCTCTTCCTAATATTGCATTGCATGTTGCACTTTTTCCAACACCAGTGTTACCCAGAAGCACAATACTCAAAATACCAGGCACTGTGTGGAGAGTAAAATCAAGAGCGATGAAGTAAAATCAGGAACAAAGGTTTCACCAATGTTTTGGGTCTAACAGCACAAAGAAACAGCATATTAGAGCTTTTCTCATTTCCATGGAACTTACCACTGTCATGTCTTGGTGTGTCCATCTAAAAATATTGCTAGTATTGCAGTGGTTAAGAAAAAGCTCACTTTACTTTAAATGCTGCATGCTTAAGTCCATAAGCCTCAGAAGCATTATAAATACCAAAGAAAGAGTGGACTTCAGCCAAAATGAAGTCACACTAAACACTGTTTTGCTTTACAGTAACAATCTTATTATTTATCAACATTGTGCAATCTTGAACTCTAGCAGTCTACTGTCATGTTTTGCAGGAAACTCTGGTCACTGGCTACCCAGTGACAGCACACCGTTTCACACCATTTCACACTCCATATCTGTAGCAGGATAATATTTTTGTTGTGCAGAAATAAATGACGAATAGTCAGCATAGCAGAAAACTTCAATTGAATATTTAAAGGCTACATATTTTGAAACTGACTTTGAATCTGGAGCTACAGGACACTGCTGTCATGACAGTCACAATTCTTAAGCAAAAATTTTTATATACTGTACAGTACAGCGCAGAAATCAGAGACCACCCTTCATTTACTTTATTTCCTGTCAAACAAGTCATTTATTTTTC